GCCGGAAGCTCCAATACAAACATTTCAGAGTGCCTGGGTATCAATCTGAGGACAGTGCAGAGGATTCAGAAAGAGTTGGATGAGTCTAATGGTGATTAAGAAAGTATAGCAGCTCCGAAAACTCACTCTGAGTGTTCTGATAAAAAAAAGAACTCGTAAAATGGTTGGTGAGGGCATTAGACTCAACACAGAGGCCTAAGTGTTTTGAGGAGCTAGTGCTTGGTCAAGAGGGTGGCTGCTGAAAGACCCTACCATACCACACAAGCAGGAAAACCCAGTCATGGCTATCAGACAATTTCTGAAACCACATCACATCTGGCAACCAAACTCCTCAGACTCTAACTCCCTTGATTATTATGTGTGGGGTGCAGTTGATCAAGAGACCAACAAAACTCCTTGTCACAGCAAAGATAAACTGAAGGCTAGAATTATAGCAACATTCACCAACTTAAACAAAGAGACTGTTTAGAAGAGATGCAGTAGATTCCAAAGTTGTCTGGAGGCTGTGGTTGAAGTCAATGTTGATGTTATTGAATAAATTTACTCTTTGGTATTTCAGGGATATTTTTGTGTAATTTTGGTAAATATATCTGTTAAAATGAGATGTTAGTGCTATTTTCATTTTTAGATAATTCATATGACAATTTATCCATCGCACCCTGTATATATATATTTTGGTTTGCTGCAGCAGATGGTGTCAACTGAAGTGTGTGTGCCATGGAGTGGTGACCCATGGAGCACCCCAAACAGTTTGCTGCCAAGGCTTTCATTCTCAAAGAGTTTTCTTCTTTTCATATCTAAAGAACACTTAGAGAAGAGCAGTCCGTAAATAAAAAAAAATCCTCTGAAAATGTCAGAAGACAAAAAGAAGTGACGAAGAGAGCCCAAATTGGTCCTGGGTATGACAATAAACTACACCTGGCAGTAAGGACTCTGATCAAGAGATTGGAGGTTCTGAGGATTATGAAACCACCTCTTAATTGCTGTTATTCCCAGCTCCATCTTGACCCAAGGTAGTAGCACCTGTTAGTTAAGGTCCTAACTATGGGCATATAGTGAAACATATATATATAGCTGGTCAATCGTATTCAAGGATACTCATTTACTAGGGCAACTAGCCAATATCTATTGCAGACTCTCACTCAGGCACATTTGTGTTTGTTCAACACCCCCAGAGCCAACCTGTGGTTTATACTGCAACTATGCTGAGCAGACCCTAGTTACAGTTCCTGGGAGAGAGTGTGTTATCTAGAATGATCAATAATCTGAACAACACCAGCACACTTAAACTCTCGGTCATGATGACTTGTGACTTCATGCTAGCACAGCTGTTGATTCCCCCCAGTGTTCTGTCTACCCAATTTCACTCCCAACATCAACCTGTGGTATGGTTTTCAGCCACTTTCCAAAGGTGCCACATACTGGGATCATTCCCCTTTCTGACAAACTGACCAGATTTGAACTTAGTCTCATGGTCAGAAAGTAAATGTTCTCAAACCTCAATATGTATACACACACACATACTTACACATATACAGATATAAGACCCTCTATACATATGTATATGTATGGAAATTCCTGTGGGTGTGGCAGTCTGAACACTCCTGAGTAAGAAAATTATATATGCTCCCAAGCCAAACTCCCTCAACGGTTGGACAGAAAAACTCATGGTATCAAAACCTTGAAAGGTGATGTACTGTGTTGGTGGTGGTTGTTCTGGAGACGTCCAACTTCAAGGCTAATAAAACCTGAGGTCTTCACTATAATCAAATCCTTTGTGTAGGTTTTCTGACAACTTCCATTATCATCATCATCTTTTCTCTCTCTCTCTCTCTCTCTCTCTATATATATATATATATATATATATATATATATATATATATATATAAAATTCATGAAATACCTAATTATATGTATAAATATATCATATCAGTCTATTTATAAATGTATTCTTGAGGATTTCTCAAGAAACTGAATACTGATTGAAGAATCTATCACAAAAGCAAACACTTGATTGAAGCTAAGTAAGACATAATCCAGTATTTTATGTATGATTAACTGCTTCATAATTGAATCTCTTTTCAAGAGGAGGGCCTGTTGTCTGAAGTAATTTTGAGAATATCACAAAGACAATTGAAATTTCATACGGCATAAAAAGATTGGAATCTCAAAGCTGTAGTGTTGTGGACAATCAATAAGCATGAGTTACAGATCTAGAGACAGATGAAAAGGCAGGCTTGGATGAAAGACAGTAACTTTTGTGGTATCAAGGATAAAGAACTTATTCCTCAATATAAAACATACAAAACTAATATAAAAAAAGTCAAACAAATTTGCAATAATGCACATTAGTGTTCTTCATATATATATATATATATATATATATATATAATCTTAAGATGTGCTATATTTATGGGATAAAGTGCTCAATATCAGAGATAGAGCGTGTGTAAATATAAAAGTGAACATAGAAGTCAACACTTAGAGGTGAAACAGACTGTCGCCTCAAGTGTTGACTTCTATGTTCACGTTTATATATATATATATATATATATATATATATATATATATATATATATATATATATATATATATATATATATAATGTGTGTGTAGGATTTTATTACTTCAAACATTATTTTAGTGCATATCCATATATGAGTAGATGTCCTGTTTACTTTAAACAGTATTTATTACATCTACTTGTCTGCATACACAAGAAACCTTAATAAAGAAAATGGCAAGATTTGAACCTGTGGCCCCCTTTACAGGTGGGACCTGTGTCTGATCCCGCATGCTTTTAACACTTGGCTACAAAGAACTTTACAATAAAGCAAGGTTCTATTTTCCCTTTATATACTGTTTAAAATAAATGCAATGTTTACTCAAATATGGCTATCTACTGAAAAAAATAGTTGAAGTAATAAAAATATGTTGAATTAAAAAATAAAATCCATTAATTCTTTAGAAATCTAATATAGGTATTAAGTTCAAAAGTTTTATGATATCTAATGTAAGCCAATTATATAGTGAAGACTTACAATGAAGCATTTATGCATAGTAAAGTAGATATGAAAATACTTTTATAAAATCTCTTTTATACATTATGTATAAATACACATCTGCACAAATACATATACCTATACATAGACTATATGAAGGTTTACATGTATATTAGTGTTTATGTGTGTGAATTTTGATTGTTTTTTTATGGCTTATCAACCTTTTATAGGTTATTTAAAGCTAGGAAATATTTAAAGATTGTAAAAACATTTTTTGAAATAATAACAATATAGTGATATTAGTTCTACTTATTAATCTATAGTTAAGCAGAGGTGGATTCATACTTTTCCCAAGAGTATTTGCATGGAAATGAATATAACATATCCAAGCTTACAGGTCTGGTATTCCTGTATGGTGACCCATCTAGATATTGACCAGGCTTGACATTGCTTAACTTTGGTGATCATATGAGAATCAGTGTTTCAATGTGATATGGCTTAAGCCATGAGTACGTGGAAATACTGTGAGGTAGTGTAATAATTTTTCTTATTATTATTTTATGTGATGTGTCAGCTTAAGGATGTGGACTTCATAGCTCTCCACAACTTCCTTTTCAACTCTAAGTAATGTTTGCTCTCTTAATATTCCTCTCAGTTCCTGTTTAGCTATCCATTTAAATAAGCTGATTAGGCAGGGAATTCGCTTTTTCCCCTCTGTCTCTCTTGTTTTCAATATGTCCGGTGACTACCAGATTCTCCAAGCCTTCTTTCCTCGTATTCCCAATAATTTCAACTCTTTCTGATTTTAAATACAAGTGTGCATTTTGTTTACATTATTTTCAAAATTAATTCATTGCTCACATGTTTCATCCATGGTATTCTCAGTATTCTTCTATAGAACCCCAACTTTGTTGATTCAAGTTTCCTTTTCATCTGTGTGGAAATTGTCTACTATTCACTGCCATATAGGAGGGTTTATATATATATATATATATATATATATATAGTTCAGCACTTTTTTCTTTGTTTCTAGTAAAATGGTTACTGGTAAGAAACCATTTTGTCAGAAAAACACAGTTATAAATCTGAGTTTGAATTTAGGTTGAATCTTCTTATTAACATTCAACGGCTTTTGAAAGGCCATGGATTCACTTCTTCCTCTGCTCTGTTTTACTATTAACTATCATAACAAAAAGGAGGCACAGTGGAGTAATGGATAGTGGCTTGGATTGAGGAATCAGAGAGCTGAGTTCTAATTCTAGTCAAATTCATTTATGTGCTTATACCTTTGGGAAAGATATGAATCCTATTCTTCTCCCCCCCAGCTATGGGTAAATAGCAGGACAGACTGGGTTCTACAGCCTTGGGTGGTAACTGGTCTAGGAGAAGGAAAACTCTGAATTCAAATCAGAATGGAGTATGTTGGGCTCTGTCAGGCTATCTTACCCAAGACACATCACTTCTGCTGTGGCTGCAGTATATGTGATGCTCTTATAACTCTAATGAGTTACAGGACTTATGATTTTAACAAAGAGTATTAAAGAAAAAAAAAAGATCACTTAGAATGAGAAAGAGTTTAAATTTCTGGTTCGCATAATGAGGAATTAGGGCTTGGTGAATTTGCCACCCACAAGATACATTGTTCACTCAGACTCTTCATTGTTAATGATTATGACATGTTAGTGACAAGACTTTTTGTCAAGATCTTCTTCCATATGCTGTGTTCTTTCATGATGTAGGCAAACATTGCTTACCCCAACTTGCTACCATTTAATTCTTAAAAATGTTTGTTTTTCTACTATCCCTCAACTCTTTGTTTACCATCCATTTATAAAAACTTGTTATATAGGTTATTTGTCCCTCTTGCCTCCAATGTGTCTTGTGGGTATCAAATTCATCAAGCCCTCTTTCCTCATTATGTGACTCAGAAATTTCAACTCATTCTCAGTGATATTTTGTTTTCATTTTCTTTAATACTTTGTTGAACAAACCTGGCTTACAGCCATATGATGTTGAAACACTGGTTCCTGTACGGTCACCAAAGTTAAGCAATGTCAAGCCAGGTTAGTACCTAAATGGGTAACCACTTGGGAATACCATGTGCTGTAAGTGTGGATGTGTTGGGTAGTATATGGATAATGGCTTGGAATTCTTAATTGGAGAGCTGAGTTCCAATTCCAGTTGGATTTGTTATTTTCAAAAATGCACAAATACACGTTGGAAAAAGTATTAATCCACTACTTTTCCCAACAGATATTGGGGTCATTATATCCCTCACAGCTATAGGTTAATTAGTAAGATGTATCATTAAATCATTATATCAAAAGAAATTCTTATAATCTAAAAATATTTTCTGGCTTTAAATAAGTCATAGAAACCAAATCAATCAATGAACAACTATATATACATATAAAAAAGTAAACAGATGCTTTTATAATATGATAATAGTAAGTAGATACTTATATTTTCAAACAAGAACATTTTATTTAGTGATTAAAATTTAGTGAATTTGCCATTAATATATTTTATAGTTTTAATGTTTTCAAACATCAAATTTATTAGATCTGCTACCTTCTCTTCTGGGATATCTGACCTGGCCGAATTCAATATACAAAAATAAATCTTTTGTAGAAGTTTATCGGAACATTTTCTTTTTTCTCCCCCAATCCAGAATGGTCCAGACATGTTTAATAAGATTTATGTCAGGACTTGTTTATAAAAGTCACTTCATACCCTTTTAATGACCTGCCATTCTTGATTATTTCGCTCTGACATCTACCATGAAAATAGTACTGTTTTTATCTCAATCTTCTTAAGAATATATATATATATATATATATATATATATATATACTGGTATACCTTATAATTGGTATGTAGCTAAGTGGATAGAACATTAGCTATCAATCATGAGACCAGAGTTCAGATTTCACCAATGATTTGTTGGTGGTATGATGGATAGTGGCTCCAAAGGAGAAATCGGAGAGCTGAGTTCAAATTCAAGTTGGGTTTGTTACATTCACTTATGCGCAAATATCTGTGGGGAAAAGTAAGAATTCATCTCTTCCCCCACAAGCTATGAGTTAAATAGTAAAGCTTGTATCTGGAAAAATCAGTGTTATTCTTCAAAAAATTTTTAATGCAATATTCACTCACAAAAAAAATAATTATTCTTACAATCCAAAATATATTTTGGCTTTAAATAACCCATAACATTGATATGTTGTCAAAAAGAAATCAATCAATCAAATGAATTCTGCCATAGTCAACTGGTTAAGTAGGTGTCTCGTTGATAATATTGACCTATTGATATAATTGAGTGAATGGCTGAAAACTATATCATGGATTGATTCATTCCTTGTGTATGAAATTGGGTAGATCAGAAGTTGTCAATAGCTGTGCTGGCACAAATTCACTTTATGGGCAAATAGACTGCCACAGATAGTGAGCTTCTATCTAGAAGTTGTATCTTAATAAAAAAAAAAACTCATCTCTCACTTGTGACTGAGCCTGGTCAGTACCTAGATGGGGGGCTCTTGAGAATACTAGGTGCTATAAGCTTGGATATATGGGTGGTGGAATGGATAATGACTCAGAGAAACATTAACCGCAGTTGGGTTCCTCATATTTACTTATATGCAAATACCTTTGGGAAAGGTATGAATCTTCTCCTCCCAGCTATGGGTTAATTAGTAAGACTGTATCACTTAACTATTTTTATCTCCAAAAATAAAATAGAATTATGTACAAAATATTTAGAGTCCGGCATTAAATAACTCATAGAGGTTAATATGCTACTAGAAACAAAAACAACCAACCCCCATTTGTGTGCCTGTATTGGCTAAAAATACTCACAATGACTGAAATTCTTTAAAATAGACTGCTCAGACAAAAATTCTAGGCAATGAAATCAATATTTATTCTTTTTTCAGAAATGAGTTTGCAATCTGCTACAGGCGGAAATAGTCCATCATTATTATTATAATAATTATTATTATTATAATACATTATATACAGTGTTTGTCAACTAGGAGAGACTTGTACCACCTGGAAGGAATTTTAGGATTTCAATGGGGAATCTGGATCATAGATCCAAACTGTTGAAATACGGCTTTTTCTAGCAACTGTAATTCTACAGTGCACCACTTGAGTTAGACAGTCTTGAAAGTGGGGAATGGTAATAATAATATTAGCCATTACCTTGTAAGAATTATCATCCTAAAATATGACAAAAAGAGTGTATATCAAAATATATTTAAAATCACTGCTCGTAAAAGATTTCAATAATCATGCACTAAAGCTCCATCAGTATTTGATAATGGGCTGCAGGTGGTTCAAACAAAAATTCTAGGCAATGAAATCTATACTCACTTTTCAAAAATTGGGCAATTAAATACTGATCTGAGAAGATGATAGTGTGCCAAAATTTCAAGGATCTTTTCACCACCTTAATTGTCTTTTACAATATCTACTGGATATTGACAGGTTTAAGAAGTTGGTCCCCTTTCGTGGTGGAAGTAGCTGGCATTAAATTTTGGAATTTCACTTACAAGTAATGAAGTAAAGGAAACCAATGTGTCTATGATTTAATACTGATTTTTACACAGTAATAGGAAACTGATGTGTCTTGTCAATATGAATTATCAAAAGTGTATCTTTCTGCAATGAGACAGGAGAACTATCTTGGTTTCAAAATGACAGATGTGGCAGAATGTCTCCAAGAATGGAAGCATAACATCTACATCACATGGGCCATTATTATGGCAGAGCAGATGGAATAACCTATATTTTAAACTTTGGTAATACCTGAATAGTACTTCTACCAATCATGATGAATTGATTTTACAGTGTTTTCTTCAAGATTTTTATACCTTATTGATTAAATCTTTATTAAATATGAAATCTGAACAAAATAATATTTTTATATATATATATATATATATATATATATATATGCACATACACATAAACATATTTTTATACTGGTGCTTTTATTATATTTATATAGATATGTATAACTATGCATATGCTTGCACACATATTTGGTCATATATATAAATAATTACATATACAAGTTGTCTCCATTTTATGTTTCTCACTTCAAATAAATAGACATATGAAAATATATATACATGGATGTGATGAGGGAGGTGTTGATAGATGTTCTAGTTCATGTTGCTTTTAGATTTTGTAGCTGGTTAAAGAATATAAGACAAAGAATGATAGAATGATTTAGTTGATGGCTGCGGAAAAATAAAATTATCAAAGAGTAAGGGAAGAAGTGGGAATGTGTCATGGGAAAAAATATGAAAGTTAAATCAGGAAGGAGTGGTTGACATAAGAAATACTAAAATTCAAATACAAGACAAAGACAAACAATGAAGACTGGGATGGTGGGGGCATTATAAGCAAGGACAATAAATCAGAAAGCCAAAAAGATTTAAATAGGTAAAAGAAAGAGAAATTACAGTTTGAAATATAAAGGGCGAGAGAGGGCGAGAGAGAGAGAGAGAGAAGGACAAAGCAAATAGCAAAAGAATGTGTACAGCATAGTAATGTGAATGAAAAATTAAAGTAAAAAAGTGATATAAAGAGATTATGAGAAAAAGTGGTTTTCTAAAATAAAAAAAAAAGAGAAATAAAGATAGGAAGAAGGAGAATTTAAGAGAAAAAAAAAAAAAAAGAATGAAAAGCAAAATAGCAAAAGAATATGTGAAAGAATAAAAAAAATTAAATAAGAAGAATGAAAAGAGAAGGAGAATTTGAATGATGAAAATCAAAAAAAGAGTGATATGTGAAAGAATTAAAAAAAATTAAATAAGAAGAATGAAAAAGAGAAGGAGAATTTGAAAAAAAAAAAGGGGATGAAGAAGAAAAGTCAAAGAGTGATATTGAAAGAATTAAAAAAAAAATAAATAAAATGAAAAAAAAGAAAAAAAAGAAAAGAAAAAAGGGATGAAGAAGAAATCAAAATCAAGGAAGAAGGAGTGAAAGAATTAAAAAAATTAAATAAGAAGAATGAAAAAGAGAAGGAGAATTTGAAAGAAAAAAGGGGATGAAGAAGAAATCAAAACTCAAGTCAAAGAGTGATATGTGAAAGAATTAAAAAAAAATTAAATAAGAAGAATGAAAAAGAGAAGGAGAATTTGAAAGAAAAAAGGGGATGAAGAAGAAATCAAAACTCAAGTCAAAGAGTGATATTGAATTAAAAAAAATAAAAAGAAAAAAAAAATAAATAAAAAAGAAAGAAATGAAAAGAAATCAAAACTCAAGTCAAAGAGTGATATGAGAATTAAAAAAATTAAATAAGAAGAATGAAAAAAAGGAAATTTGAAAGAAAAAAGGGGATGAAGAAGAAATCAAAACTCAAGTCAAAAGTGATATGTGAAAAAGAATTAAAAAAAATAAATAAGAAAATGAAAAAGAAGGAGAATGAAAGAAAAAAGGGATGAAGAATCAAAACTCAAGTCAAAAGAGTGATATGTGAAAGAATTAAAAAAATAAATAAGAAGAATGAAAAAGAGAAGGAGAATTTGAAAGAAAAAGGGGGGATGAAGAAGAAGATATGTGAAAGAATTAAAAAAATAAATAAGAAGAATGAAAAAGAGAAGGAGAATTTGAAAGAAAAAAGGGGATGAAGAAGAAATCAAAACTCAAGTCAAAGAGTGATATGTGAAAGAATTAAAAAAATTAAATAAGAAGAATGAAAAAGAGAAGGAGAATTTGAAAGAAAAAAGGGGATGAAGAAGAAATCAAAACTCAAGTCAAAGAGGATAAAGAGAATTAAAAAGAATTAAATAAGAAGAATGAAAAGAGAAGGAGAATTTGAAAAAAAAAAATGAAGAAGAATCAAAAAAAGAGAAGAAAGAATTAAAAAAAAAATTAAATAAGAAGAATGAAAAAAAAGAAAAAAAAGGGATGAAGAAGAAATCAAAACTCAAGTCAAAGAGTGATATGTGAGAAGAAAAAATTAAAAGAATGAAAAAAAAGAAGAATTTGAAAAAAAAAGGGGATGAAGGAAAATTTGAATTAAAAAAATTAAATAAGAAGAATGAAAAAAAGGGAATTTGAAAGAAATCAAAACTCAAGTCAAAGAGTGATATGTGAAA